ACAAAAATGCAGAAAAAACGCAGAAAAATGTAAAATAGATAGATAAACCGTGGTGGTTGACCTCAATAGCAGTGTTAAATGTTGTTACACTGAGATAAACATGTCAGTCGAGATCTCTTTTTAAATTCATAAGATTTTTAAGACAAAAATATTTTTGTTCAGTTTATCAAAAAAAGAAACCTCTGTCGAGTTGAAGAACGAATGACGGAAACAAAATTTGAAACACAAAAATTCTGATATCAATTTGGTGATGAAAATAGTTGGTAGATATTTTTTTCTGTGTATTGTGAATTAAAACGAATATACATTTATATATTTGGAACGTTGATTACACTTAAAGTAAAATGAAGAGTCTTACAGGAGTAAGACGAACTTTTCCGCACGGTGGAAGATGCGTATTTTATTAAGCTAGTTCAAAATCATATTTGTTCGATTTTTAAAGCCTCTCAAGCGGCGTTAAGTTCGAGGCCAAAAAATATGTTCAAACTTTAGCATCGAAATATTCTTTAATTTAATAGCAGAAGTACTCGTAAAAGATTTTTCACACTTTCATGATGAACTCATTTGTATGACATTTGAAAGTATCCTATTTTCTAACAAAACATTATAAAACCTATGCTACCTTAATGACGTGAAACTTTGCACAGGTTATTTTCTACACAAAAAAATAACATTCTGAAAGTTTGAAGAAACAATCAAAATTAAGAGTACCTCCTAAGACTCTTTATTTTACTTTAAGTGTAATCAACGTTCTAAATATATATTCATTTTAATTCACAATACACAGAAAAAATATCTACCAACTATTTTCGTCACCAAATTGATATCAGAATTTTTGTGTTTCAAAGAAGCGATTACTGCCTAAAATGATAAAAAAATAAAATTAACGTATAGTTGGCACTACATTCTATGTAATAAGCGTATACTTTCCACTTAGTCCGTTGCAACCGAAAACAAGTTTGCATAGAATGCAGCGCCAGCTATATGTGAATTTTATTTTTTATCGTTTTAGGCAATAAATCTATGGTTTTCTTATGGCTTCTTTTGTTTTCGTCTTTCGTTCTTCATGTCGACAGAGGTTTCTTTTTTTGATAGACTGAACAAAAATATTTTTGTCTTAAAAATCTTAGGAATTTAAAATGAGATCTCGACTGACATGTCCATCTCAGTGTAACAACATTTAACACTGCTATTGAGGTCAACCATCACGGTTTATCTATCTATTTTACATTTTTCTGCGTTTTTTCTGCATTTTTGGTTTTCTGCGTTTATTTTGCTGCATTTTTGGTTTTCTGCGTTTATTTTTCTGCGTTTTTGTTTTCTGCGTTTATTTTTCTGCATTTTTGATTTCTGCGTTTATTTTTTCTGCGTTTTTTTTTCTGCGATTTTTTTTCTGTGTTATTTTTTCTGCGTTTATTTTTCTGCGTTTTAGTGTTTCTGCGTTTTTACTTTCTTCGTTCCGTGAAGCTACCCTAATACAGTAGCTTTTTTATATGGAATCTGTCACACTAACGCCCTCACTCTATCTTTTGGCGAACTAAACAGAATAAAGTTTAATATAAAAGTAAAGTCTCCATCAGGATATTTTATACAGCCGGTGTCAAGATCAATAAAACTGTTAATAGAATCTGCCATTTTTACGCAATTTTGCGATGTGATTGCGAGATTAAGAATATAAATAAAATAAATGAACGGAATAAACGAACTTAACAGAACAGAATAATTCGCACGAGTGTCCCAAGTCAGTATAATACTCTTTTCGAAGAGTGTACACGCTCTTCTCACACTCTTCGTATAGTTTTATTCGACTCCCTTCTCACATTCTTCTCACACTCTTCTCACACTTTTGCATAAAACACGTATATTGAGTGAGAACTGCTGTCACTGCATTCCAGTGGAAGTAATGTTTGTATTTTGATATTTGAACGTTTATAGCATTCGTCAGCTGTGTCAAAATACAACAGAACGACAATTGCTGTTGCAACAGCTAATTCATTTTTTTTTTGTATACGTTCATTTTTTTCAAAATGTCAAAAATTAACAAAATCAAAAATTATCCATCAGTGGAAAAATTTATTATAAAGAAAAAAAAGAAAATTTTTTAGAGAAAAAAATTGAAGCTCAGTTAAAAACAATATACGTGTTTTATGCAAAAGTGTGAGAAGAGTGTGAGAAGGGAGTCGAATAAAACTATACGAAGAGTGTGAGAAGAGCGTGTACACTCTTCGAAAAGAGTATTATACTGACTTGGGGTATGACAAGTATGTAAGAGAACAATAACATTACGTTTTGTATCTATCTGTCAAATGTCACACTCACACTTATGAGTTTACGTATGGAGATTTTAACAAAATAATTTCTACAAGATCTACACACTCTACACCCGAGGCTTTTTAAGTTAAATTAAAACGCATATAAATTTATGTTTTTTTAGAAATTATCTAATGCTAATTGTGCTAACTTCACTTTCAAAACAAAAAAATGAAACAATTTATTAAATTATTTTTCAACAATTTTTGGAATAACATATGCGCTCATTCTCAAACTTGTGAAATAATATCCCATTCTATATATAGATGGCACTGTCTATACGAAGTTCGGCAAACAAAGCATTACGCTTATTGAGCGCATTACACCTCTTATTGTTTAACGAATGAAACACAAATGATTGTGTGCATGTGCAACCGATAGATTTGAAACAATGTAAAAATATTACCGGCTTACCGTTGCAAATGTAGAAATATTGGTACGTATTTGAACAAATTGCCTCCCGTCATCATCGTACAAAAATATGCTCGACCATCAAGAGATGAGATGCGACGTGCCGTCTTTGCTCTCAGTCTCTCATATATTCTTCTTCACTTCATATGTTCGCTGGTACCGTTGATGCCGTTGTATTTTACGCGTAAGTGAAACAGCAGCGGCAATAGCGGTAACGGCAGCACATACGAAGCGAAAGGGGAATATGTATCGTGCATCCGTTTCGTATGCGTTATCCGTACGAGTTCAGCATTACTCAGCTCTCAGTCATATGCTGAGCAGCAGCAAATAATGATACTCTGAATTAGATACGGATCTGGTACGCGCTTTGATTTCTTTTTGAATAGATATTCCATGGTATCGTTGATCTCTTGCTTGGTCGCATTTTGGTGCTCAAAAAACTTCCGAAGACGAGAATATGCGTGATAGCAAACGTTATTCTTGAAATTTGTGTAGTACGTATATGGTGCGCAGTTGAATACATTTCCAATGTTCTCAATTTTTGGAGCTCTCATGAAATATTAACGACACAAACGGTGAATCATTCTGGACACCTTGTATCCAGAGTTCATTACGGCATCTTCATCGTCGCTATCAAAATTTTGCGTTCCTCAGAAATAGTCATCGAAGAAGTTCTTATCTACGAATTTACTGAAGTAATCTTCGATTTCACCGTATCGATTGCCATCACAACACTCTTGAAAAAATGTGAAAATTATGTAATGAGCACTGCGTGCACCCAAAATGAAACATCGCGTCATTTCAAGCTGATAAAATCACGAAATTTATCTGTTTTCATTGGTCGATTGTGTTTCAAGCCTTTTTTTGCACTTTTCTTTATGGTTTGATTTTCACGAATTTTTTTCCTCTTTACTGGCTTTGGATATTTATAGTCTAGAATCTGTTGATTCAGCAATATATTATTTTTGATGAATTCTTAAGTTCCCTGTATTTTAAAAACGGGCCTCTAAAAGTTCATCAAAATATAAAATCACCGATTCATATGACCGAGAACGGGTTCGATTCAAACAAACTAACAATGCGTTCATTTCACTCTTGCATAAATATAATTTCACAATTCTTCGATGCAAACGAATCAAAAATTTTATTGAAAATCATTCATCAACAAAGCAAGAATATTCTCACGTGTGTTCTCAATGTTTGTTTCGGTTGTTCACGATTCTGATGGATTTTGAAAACTCAGCAAAATGTTCGCCATGTTATGCTTCACAAAAAAAAAAAAATCAGTGAGCTCAAAAGCGGTTATGACATGGAATATGTGCTGATATCAATGCAAACTGATCCCAACTTTTATTGAGAACCATGCGCTAATCACCCTTTCTTGACTTTGTTTTCACTAGCTATGAAACATTGTTTGTAATCTATAGACAATGACAGGCGTTTGAAGTTTCATATAATGTACAATATGAAACAGTGTTCCACCAGAATGATTATTCAAACAATTAATACAATTTAATTGTTTTACAAAACTACTGTATTTTATATTAAAAAATAAATACAAAAAATCTTTCTTATTTCATTTTAATCCATTTGGATTTTTTATTAAATTAATCCGAAAGGATTATATTTTAATCCCATCAAAATTACAGTGTATATTGCGTTTTTCGTTATCATGCAAGTATGAACATAAACAGACATACAGATCTTCTTTTGAAATCGAAGCTTTGAACTACCAAATTAGTTTTTAAAGCAAGTGACACATACACATATATTCAGTGATATACATATAAATCAACACCATTGCGTACAAACAACATTAACAACAATAAATTAAATTTAAGTTCATATTTTGAGAAATTCATGTAATTTGCAAGTCATCAACCGGCTAAGCCTATGAAGAGACAAAATGCGAATTCCCCTCATCTGTGCCATCTTGTATTCCATAGTTGAACTCAATTTAGTTACAATGAATTGAATCGAAAAAGAGAAAAAAAACAACAACAGTAACATGGCTACATAGATCTGTTGACCAGTGAGATACGTATAGCAATGGAATGAAAGAATGAAGAAAGCGTATATGTGTATGTATGCATCAGCACGCATAGATGTACAGCTCTGTGTGGCCGTGCTATTGTTGTTGTTTTTTCACTTTTTCATTTCAATGCTACAGAATTAAATTCAGTTTTTGCATCTAATTCACACTAAAATCAGATGGCGCTCATTAGCGAGATTCGCAAAAAAAAGTCTCCAATCTCATACAAATATACACCGGCTGCAAGTCATATAATAATGACAATTCAATGATACAATTATTGATTTTTCATTATATAACAAAATTCCATATATAAATTCTCTTGAATACATTTTGAAGCTTAATAATACAGTCGAACCTCTATTCTTTGAAAACAAAATTTGTTTGCCAAAAAACTCGATTTTTGTCTTGAAACGCTTGAAAATAAACAACACTTATAATCTATTTACATTTCAGTATGATATATTTGTGAAAAGTGTGAATTCATAAATTTTCAAGCGTTCATTTTGACATAAAATCCCAATTTTCCCTTTTATCAATTTTTTCATTGATCGAAGCTACCTCGGTATTTCGAAAACCTTAATTTTTCGAAAGGATTTCGGTCCCTTATAATTTGAAAAATTGAGGTTCAACTGTATATATAATATCAAACAATAAAGCAACATGAATAATTCGACCGAATGTTTAACATAGCACAACAACAAACTAATTTTTTTGCTATCTTGATGTCTTTTAAGACCGTTAAACAACACAATGTTTCGGACTTGAATGGATGCTTTTTGGTGTATTCACAGTGTAGTAGGAATAATTTGCATTTTCTTTTGATTAAACTGCATTGTGTTGGAATTTTTTTTATTATTGTTGATGAAAATGTTTTTAGAATATGTTGATTTTAAGTTTCGTTCGTGGTTGTTTTTTTTCTGTTGTTTATAGTGCAAGTTTCGTTAACACATACACTCAATGTTGATGTATTCCGTTTGTGTGACGCTTTAACATTTCCTGTTGGCGTTTGTTTTATTCATTGCTAAACTATAACTTCTGTTATCAACAAAATATTGTCTGCATTATTGATAATTTGTGCGTGTATAGTTTTTTTCAATTCAATTTTAAGGTTTGGAATCGATTTTTTTATTTTTCAAAATAAGTTGTTTTTGTTGCGTTTATTAGAATTTGAATGAAACAAATTTTTGAATGAAGAGAATAGAAAAAATAAAAAATAACATACCAATTACAAAAAAAAAAATACTGCAAAATCAAATAAGATACCAAATGGAAAGTCCTCTACAGTCTACATATATATTTTTTATAGACATCAATTAAAGGAATACGATCCATAGTATTTTCGGGACGAAGAGAACCTGTTCTATCGTAAAAATCCGATCTTTCGATTTCATCTACAAATAAGTGAAAACATCTAACAAAACAAAGAAGTTGCGAAGAAGAAGAAGAGGGAGTTAAATCAAAAAAGACCACACATTAATAACCTGATGATAATCATACACTATCGACAAACCATACAAACTATTATAGTTCGTTATCATAAAATATACAAAAACAGAATGTGTGCAAACTATTTTTCACTGAGCAAATGCCAACAGAATTTCATTTTATTTTACACGAAGAACAAAAAAACTAATTCTTAGAAAATATATATATGATCATATAAAAACATTGAAGACAGAATCAAATCATCAGTCATAAAATATGTAATTAATAAGGGAAAATTCACTTAGACACAAAATCATCTATAGCTGTCAATTTGAATGCGTGGAAATAAAGATGAAGGGCGAAGAGATGCATTAAAAAAATATGAAGACTGAAGAGTGAATATCTTCTTTTATCTCTTTTTTTTCATGTACGCATTCCAAAAATACTGTTGACATAACTTAAGCCAGAAAAGGATAGCTGTTATATAAAAAAAAACAAGCGATAGAAAATAAAAGAATACTAAAGAATCTATTCAATTTGATGAAAATAAAGAGTATACTAAATACAATTTACTATTTACTTATTATACAGCATAGATTGAAACATCAAATACAAGAGTTTTACTATTTAGTGCATTCGAGTTTTGCACACACTTCGTTTAGAAAGAGCAATAATTCATGGACCGCTGCATTAAATATCGGATACGCGCAAAATATTCCGGATATTTATCTATGCACAGTATATGCACTAGCTTAGATTGAAGCGATGATCTAAAAATTTAAAGCATAATGAAATTCAACAATTTTGTCCAACTCTTGTTGTCTTTTTATGCGCCAATTCTTTATTCTTTGAAGAGGCGATAAACTGCTTCCTATTGGAATTATATGTTAGAATACCCATACGGATACTACATTCAATTGTGATGAAATACTTACAGATAATATATTGAACCAGCTGACCAGTTACTTCAATGTATTGTCTGAATACTTACCACAAAAGTTAAACGATAAATGATATAAATTTATAAAAAAAAAATAATAATACCAAAACAAACAGTTAAAAGGGAATCAGCAACGATTCAGTTAAGAAGATATAGAATAATTTAAGTTTGGACACATTGTGGAAGGAAAATAAAACCCACAAGCAAAGAAGCTGAAGAATTGAGACAATTTGCGATGAAAATTAATTGTGAAACGGAAATCCATCAATATATATATATATTGGAGCTGCGAAAGCAAATTGCATTGTACTCATGTGATGATATTAATTGAAAACCAAAAATTACACAATAAATTAAAAAAAAAATGTAAATAATCTATAGTTTATTTGAATCTTTATTGGATAATTGGATTCATTCCAATTTCATTTTTCGTATTTTTTTTTTTTTTGTATTTTTGTAATAATCAATTTGGAAATCTTCTTTTTTCTAGAAAAAATAATTATTATTATTAATAATAATTTATAAATGTTATTAGGAAATGATAACGTATGATGAAAATCTATTGTAATCTTATTACAATGATCACAGTATAGAAAAATAATAATGATTTGATGTATGTTGGCCAACAAATGTAAAACTGAATGTAATGTTAATGGAAATTCTTTAGTGTCTGAAACTGCCACTTCCACCACCACCACTTCCGAATCGGCCTCCAAAACTGTAAAGCGAAAAGAATAGTTAATACAAAAATGGAAAGTTGATATCGATTATATCAAACATACCGGCGGCCACCACCACCCATACTTTCTCGTTCGCGTTCTTTTCGTTCTTGCATTGCATCAAAACGTGTTTTCATTTCACGTAATGCATCTGGCACATCTTGTTCAGCTTCTTCCAAAATATTGATCAGTTCACCAGCGCTACCTTAGAGGCGAATCACAAAAGAAATGAATAGAAATAATCAACAAATAATCGAAACATATAATGAAAATAAATTTGTAAAAGAAAGTGAATTCATTTGAAAATCTCATAGTACATAATACAATTAATATTTGAATAATGGAACAGAATAGAAAAAGAATGAATAATAAATAATAGAAAAGCAATTTTAATTGAATTGCTAGCACTACCCCAATCTGATCTTGTCACATACGAAATACTTTTTCCAGTTCTACCTGCTCGTCCTGTGCGCCCTACACGCTGCAATTAAATTCAATATTTAAAATCTAATGGATCAAAATGGGATCGATATTCATATAAATTCGTTAAACTTACGTGAACATATTCTTCGATGTTTCGCGGAAAGTCATAATTTATAACATAGCTGAGATCTTGAATATCAATGCCACGAGATGCCACGTCAGTGGCTATCAATATCTTGACCTATGAATAAAGTTGAAATCGGTTGAAAACCTTCAATTAAACATAATACATTGTCACAAAGACTAAAATGGAGACAAATACATACCACACCATCTTTGATATCGAGTAGAGCTTGTTCACGATCGGATTGATCACGATTGCCATGAATACATGCGCAACAAATTCCTTCCATACTGAATTCGCTAGATAAATCATCAGCTCTGGCCTTTTTACCACAAAAAATTATTGCTTTTTCTTCGGGATCCATTTGATTTTTTACGAAATTCATCACCTCACGATATTTGTTATCTTCATCAATAATCTTAATAACTTGTGTAACTGAGTGTACTGCGGCCAAATCCAATGATCCAACACATACTTGAATCGGATTCGACATATATCGTTGAGCCAAACGACGCACCCCGCTTGGCCACGTTGCGCTCGTCATTACAGTAACTCGATCTGGACGAATGTTCAACAATACCTTTCGAATTTGCTGCATGATAGAGTGAGAATAGTCAGCATTTTTTTTAAATATATATAAAAAAATGTATAAACCAAAATGGAAAATCTAAAATTATGTCATTTTAATCTCACGCACCGGCTCGAACCCCTATCAAGAAAAAAAAACAACAAAGTCTTCAAAATAGATAAAAAGCGATTTGTGATGCGAATATAACTTTACTTACCATATCCAGCATTCTATCAGCTAAATTGCATAAAAAATCATAACATTTATTCATTAACATTCGTTTGAAATGCAGCAATATTATTTCAAGCAAAGATAAAGATTTAATTAATTTCCCGAGACCAGACGTCACGTGTCTACGCTCATATGTACGTTCTTATACACTACTTATGGCCAATATACTGAGGCGTACGGTGTGTGGGAGCGTAAATAAGTATATCGTATACAGGTATTATGCATAAGAGCGTACATCTGATCTGGTAAGCTCATTTTAGAGAGTAACATCTATTCTCGGGTTATTTTAATGTTAAAATAATGAAATTACCTTCATCAAGAATTAAAAATGTAATTGTACACACATCAATTACTTTTGCTTCAACCAAATCATTCAATCGGCCAGGAGTTGCTGAAAACAATATAACATATGATAAGTATCATACACTAACAATAAATTAATTTGACATCATACCAATGATTATTTCCACACCAGTCTGAATATTGTTTATCTGTGCCTTTCGATCGCCACCTCCATACACACATACACTAAAATAGTACATTTCTCCAATGTATTAGTCATGTGAAGAGAATAAATGAAATAACCGACAAACTTACGCTTTCATGCCGCGGAATGAGTATTTTGCAACTTCTTTTTCAATTTGAAGAGCCAACTCGCGTGTCGGTGCAAGCACTAACACGTTAGGTCCATTTCTTTCAGATCTTGGAATTGATTGATATTCCGTATGAATCATCGCAGGAAGCAAGAATGCCAATGTTTTTCCTATTTTCAAATGATGTTTATAAAAACATTTTCTCTGGATATGTGTTTTTTGCGAACTTTCAATTACCTGTTCCAGTTTGTGCTATTCCAATCAAATCTTCGCCTTTCAGTAGAACCGGCCAAGCTTGTGACTGAATCGGTGATGGCTTTTCGAAGCCTTGATTTGCGATTTGTTCTGTCAAAAAAAGAGGTCCCGGCAAAACTTTATGTTATTCCAACTACTTAGCGATAAATTAATGAATATCTCTACTGTTTTTTTATAACTAGTAGTAAATCAGTTTTCAATTTATATTCAAAATATTTACCCATTAAATCGGGATATTTCTGGAAACAGTGTTCAAACTTGGTGACCGGATTGGGTATCGGTTCATTATTGTCATTTGATTGATTTTCATCAAGGAATAGACGGCTAACTGTTATATTGTTGTTTTGCTGTCGAATTGCGTCAACTTGTTCAGATGTCATATTTCTAACATCTGCATGCTCTTCGTAGAAATTCTTTTGTAATGGAGGCAGTGAGGCCCACCGTTTTTTATTTTCTATTTCCTAATAATAATAATAATAATTTTTATAATTCCTTTCCCTAATTTCTGAATGCAAAGTATATACTAAAGAGAAAAAACTTACGCTTTCGCGTGCAGCTGCTTGCCAGTCAATCGTTTCCATTTGGATCGTGGAATTAGTATCTTGTTTTTGCCAAGATGCACCCGAATCAGGTTGTAGTTCATGTGCCCAGGAGGTTTGTTGTTGATGTGAGCCATGACATGCATTCGAATCACCAACCAAACCATTGATATTTTCAATCGCATTAGCTACATCGCTGCGGCTACCTAAGGGGAGAATCACAAAAGAAAAGAATCGAATTAATTTAAAATATTCGGAAAAAAATCGGAAACATATAATGAAAAAATTGCAAAGCAATAACCACAACAACATTAATGTTCACCAATTGCTTTAAATTGAGATTTGGTAGTTGTAATCGTCGATTTCTCTGTGTGTTTGTGGTCAAACTATATAGATTCTTTCATTCTAATGGTTTCTCAATCATCTATCACTCACTCACTGATCCACACACACACTCTCTTTTTATTTCACATAGATTCAGTTTTCATCATCGTCATTTGACAATCTCATACGTAATACATATATAACAATTAATGTATGAATGTGAATGACCATAATCGAAACTAATCGAAAAATAATTGTAAAATTAAAATAAGTTGCTTACCACCCGACACAGTTACTGTTGCTTTTCCGTTGTAATTTGTATTTTTATCGATGTTGACCTTAACCTTAAATTTATCTTGAACTTCATTGATTGTAGTTCCACGACGTCCAATAACCATACCTAAGGTAATTATCAAAAATTTACATTGTAGCTTTGAAGTTTTTTCTTTGGAAAATTTTGAAGAATATAACTAAAATTACATATGATTTAAAAGTTAAGCAATAATCATACCGACTTTATCTGGATAAATTTCGAGCGTGTCTTTATGTTGTTGCTCATTTGAACGAGATTCAAAGCTTCGTGTGTTATCGTTCCGCTGTTCATAACCACGTAAATTGCTGCCACGAGATTCATAGCGATTTGAACTGACCAAATCCAATATAAAGCGTTTTGCCTCATGTGATTCACGCATTCCACCTTTAATGGTAACTGTCACATTTCCATCACGATTAGTTTCTTTGTCTGCCATTTTTAATATATCACAAATGGAAATGTTTAACAAAAAAATGTATTAGAAAATTAAAAATAAATTATAGTTTTGCATTATGTTACTAGACCAGGCCCAACTCACCAATATTCAATCTGACGCCATATTTTGATTGAATTTCATTGATTTTTGAACCACCACGGCCAATGATGATGCCGACACTTGATTTATTGACAGTGAATAACGTTTGTTCCTCTTGACCATCACAGTCCATATAATTGTTGATCGATTGCCTCTGATGGTCAAAACTGCGATTTGAACTTCGACATTTTTCATGTCTGGAATTTGGTTGTACCGATTCCGATAATGGACCATTCCATTCATCGTCATCATCGTCATATTGTTGTCGAACGACACGTTTTGTTGTAATCTGTGGTAATGTTGGTTCGTCTTCCCAATCGCTCATTGTAACATTCAATAAATCTCTTATATCTATAATAGCAGATTTTCTATTAAAAATAAACTAAAACCCATTTGTTTTTATTAGAGATGGTCACTGATAGAATGTATGTTTTTACTCTTTCTTGATCTTGGGTTGTAATTGTTTATTGTATTAATTGAGTTTTACAATTTTGATTAAGATATAGTAGTTTTCTTTGCTACAAATACAATCCAGAAACAAAAAGAATTTAAAAAAACCTATTTAAATATTTTCTAATTCGAATTTTATGTAGATGACAATTGTGCTAAATATGCTTACTTATTCACAAAATATATGGAAAACACGTGGGCAAAATATTCGTCTGTGCCAATTTTGCATATACTACCAGGAATTTTATAATAGCTGCAGAATATCAATTTAACTGTTTTGTTTATGACTTGCAATACGAAACGCACACAAAAACATTTGTACCGGTACCGAGCAAAATTCAATGTTGTCACATGCATATGTCAATTAGAAAATCTACTACAATAATACAATAGTGTTTGTAATGTATGATATTGAATATTTAAGTAGAAAGAATTAATTGGTAGCCATGTTACACACTTTCAGTTTAAAAAAATTGTTTTGGGATTTTTTTTTTCCAAAAAAGTCAACAGTTTACAACATAAATTGAATGAACCGGTTCAGGAAAAATGGTACATGTATGCGCTTTGCGGCATTATAGGTCGAGCATCTGCTACGCACTTTGCTGTATACTAGAGTATACTTTCTTCGTGTGGATAAACATCGATTGAATGGCCACCATCTTTGTTTATTAGGAGCGACCATTTTCAGTGTGGATTCGTCGTAGATACTATTCGTTTTCATTTCAACAAAGCGAAACGAAATATTTTACATAAAAATCATACATAAAACATCCATACAAAATCAATTTGTTGCATTTGAACTGTAAGTAAATTCGTGCTCTTTTTAGAAGCTTGAAAAACTTTTCCTTGAATTTGCTATACGAAATTTTGGCGAAATTCCATCGACACACCGAATATACGGCAAAAAAATTTCATGGAAAATTTAAAGGAAATGGTTTTTTGGGACGAAAAAAATGCGATATTCATTTTTTTAAGAGAGAATGGAGAGCTCATTGATATAATGCGCATTTACAAAAGAACATGGTTTAACCAATAATTGCTATTGTAAACCATTTTTTTTGCATTTGTCCCATCGTATTTTGAGAAAAATTAGACATACCAACCAACCAACAAAAAAAAACATTTTTGCCCTTTTATACCTTCTATGGAAAAACCAACCAATACCATATATACGCACACACACACATATATACTCATATACGCTAACAAAAATGCAACCCATAACACACAATCAAAAAGAAAAAGCGAACATTAAACAATGTCTGAAGCCTGGCAAAATACAGACGGTCAGCAAGTGAACCGTGGCTACAATGGTGGCAATCCAACATTCGGAAGCCGCAATTTTAACAACAGCAACTTCAACAGAGGACCACGCCGTGACAATGCCATGAACGGAGGTGGCTACCAAGGTATTAGACTTAAAAAATATTTATATATATATATACACTATATATACTATATATAGTATATACTAACTATACACATATATATATATATATATATATATCGGTCTCGTATTTTCTCAGACAGCAGAACGATATATGTATATATTACATAGAATTTTGATGTACTTATTGATATTATATTGGCGATATATGATGCATTCATCAGAAAGAAATACTGTACTAAAATATTTCATTCAATGTGCTTATAATCATTTCTCATCATCAATCTTGTTGTCATGTTTTTTTTTTATCTTAATTGTCTAATGTTATAGGACAACGTCCAAGCTACGCCAATGGAAATGGGTATGGTAGCCAGCAACAACGTAGTTTCGGGCAGAATGGTGCCGGGCGACAACAATTCTATGGTGGTGAGCGCCAACCGAGAATGAATTTTAACAACGGTGCTGCACCAAGAGCCTATAACAACTTCGATCCAAATAGTGCATCGAGTAAAATGGACATTGATTCGAAGAAAGTCGGTATGGTCATTGGCCGTGGTGGAGGTAAAATCCGTGAAATTCAAGACAATTTCAACGTGCATGTCAAGATTGGTAGGTTTTTCTTTCTCAAAAACTAGTTAAGAATAGCTTTTTTGTTATCTAACCCTAACCAAAATTTCAATTCAAATACGTCATTGTTTCAGATCGTGATCCAGGATTGAATGGATTGACTGGCGTTACGATTCGCGGGGAAGAAGGATCAATTGAACAGGCCAAACAGTTCATACAAGAACTCATAGCCGTCAAGTAGTTGGACAATTGAATGAGAATAAAGGGAGAGATAATGATTTACTCGACATTTCATTACTAACACACACTTTTGACGTTTAATATTATATTCATTTTTTCGCTATTTTATGTCATACAAATTATTGAGAAAAAAACAAAAACAACAAACACATTAATCGATATTTGCAAGTAAAGGGAAATAGAATGTAGCACCGGAGCATGAATTTTGAATAGTATGATCGGTAAACAAAAAAAAAAACAAAAAAATGAAACAATGGAAAATGAAAAATGGAAAACTAAAAATTAATAATGTGAAAAACAAACAAAAATTAAATAATCATTATAATAAATATTGGCGAATATATGAATCATAAAAGAAAACAAGAAAAATCCAAGAAACACATTGCGCGCTATTTAATTTACTCCCTTTATAAAATTTGTTTTGTTATGTGATTGCTTATAGCTGATCATATGATTTTCAACAGAAAAAAGACTTGTTTACCATTTTTGTCTCTGTTTTATTTTTCTTCAAAAATACAATTCAACTGCATTTCAAAAACTAAAAGAAACAACTAGAATTAGTACTTTTTGATAGATTTAACTGCCAATGATGCGGCCTCATCTAAATTTGTAGCCGAGATGATGGGCAAACCGGAATTTTCCAGAATTAGCTTTGCTTCTTTGGCATTTGTTCCTGCCAATCGTACAATCATCGGTACCTGTGGATTGATTTCTTTAAATGCTCTTACTATGCCGCTGGCAATTGTGGTACAGTTCACCTATGATCAATCAATGATTATACTTTTTTTTACTTCCACAAACTTTACAGCACTATTTATTTGGAATATGTATCTATTGAACTTACAATACCACCAAACACATTGACTAAAATTGCCTTTACATTTTGGTCAGCCAATAGAATTTCGAATGCTTTTAAAACTTGATCTTCTTTCACATTACCGCCGACATCTATAAGAAATATATGAATATTAATTAGCTGAATAATCCCGGATAATAAATAAACGTGAACATATTTCCGCAATAATTTTTAAATCAAAAGAAACTGCACATATATAAAACTTGCCCAAGAAATTTGCCGGTGTGCTACCTAAGTGGAGAACCACAAATGAAATGAATACAATTAATTTAAAATAAGCGACAAATAATCGAAAAAAATCAATAAGAATTAATTAATTATAGAAAGGCAATTTTTAATGCCCCGGTGTGCTACCATTCAATTTTATAATGTCCATTGTGGCCATTGCCAATCCAGCACCATTAACCAGACATCCAATATTTCCATCCATTGCTACATAATTTAAATTGTATTTTGATGCTTCTACTTCTTTGGGATCGATTTCGCTTACATCTTCCATATCGAAAATTCTTCCATGTCGAAACCGTGCATTATCATCAAAGTCCAACTTTGCATCCACACTGATCACATGACCATTATCAGTTTCAACAAATGGATTAATTTCAATTTGTACAGTGTCTAATTTTAAGAATAATTTCCATAATTTTTGAATCTCTTCAGATGCTTTTTCGACAAGATCACCCTTGAATTCTAAGAAACGTGCAATCTGTTGACATTTTTCATTGCTAAGGCCAACTGTTATATCGATCGCCACCTTGAGAATTTTTTCTGGAGTCTCTTCCGCGACAGTTTCAATGTCCATACCTCCGGCTGGTGATGCAATTACTATTGGGCCATGACTATCACGATCCATCACAATGCATATGTATGTCTCTCGAATTATATTGATGCTTTTAGCAACCATCACCTTCTTCACAACAATTCCTTCGGGTGGCGTCTATTTAAAAAAAAAAGCGACACACTTCATTTTGATTGCTTTGATTGCATTACCTTGCTTCTTACATGAAAAAACATTGACAATTGTTGTATAAAATTGGTCGTAGCCAGAAAATATTTAAAAACATTTGACGAAGTAAAAAAAAAACTATGATTTTCCATCAAAATGGGCAACTTTAGATGGATTTGGTTCAAGTAATATAATCTTCCGTAATCTTCTATATTTTTAATTCGATTTACCTGTTTTGTAATGAGTTTATTTCCAACCATTTTCTCGACAAATCGTAAGACTTCGTTGGATCTAAAAATGTTTTAAAATTCTTTTATTTTCATCTTCATCCTTATATCAATCTTACATACTTTGTAGTTATGTGAACGCCACCCCTAAAACCTGTGTTATGTTTCCATGTGCCCTTACCTAATGGGAGAATCACAAAAGAAAAGAACGAATAATCAAAAAATTATTCGTGAATAGTAGAAAAGCAATTTTTAAGTTAATTGCTCATGATCCTTACCACGTCCACCAGCCAATATTTGTGCCTTTACTACGTATTCTGGTACCTCTGTAAGGATTAAATGTTTTTAGTTAGTTCTGTAAGGATAGGACTCTTATCATTAGAATCATTCACTGTCTCTGTATTGTTACATCAAATACGTACTAAAATTGTCCAGGTTTTCTGTGTTTTTTCCTTGCGTTCCATCGAGAACACAGAATTCCTGAATGGTAACACCGCTTTCCTGAAGTAAAGCTTTGCTTTGATACTCTTGCAAATTCAAGCATCTCTTTTGATTTTGAAATACCTAACCGAGATATATTTAACCAAATATAGTGAAAGTAATTTTTAATGGAAAAAATTTCACGAAATATAACTTACATTCCGTATAAAATGTATTGATCGCGAACATTTAGTAGTCAAAAAAGCCGTCATAATTTGCTCGTCAAACTATTAAGCTACAAAGAAATCAAATTGTTTACGTTCAACAAAAGAAGAGAGACGGAAGTTTCATTCGTTTGAAATTTGAGGTTATTTTATTCACTGTCAGCGATGATACAGTTTAAATTGTCGGCGCTACTTGTACAACATTTTATTGACACTTCCTGAAGCAAAAAACTCTTCAAAGCAAAAATTGTTTAATGTCTAAATATTGATTTAGTATTATTGATGTGAACCAAGCCTTATGACATTTGACGTTCATTTCATTGGTTTTACCGAGAACACGTTTGGCGTTGTAATAACGAGAAGACGTTTTGTATCGATTTCAAAATTATTCTGCTATTCGATTGTTACCACTGAGTTCTCGTGTTTTGATACAACATTGACCATTGTGAAGTTTGCATTTAAGGTTTGCATTTCAAATATTCTATCGATTTTATTGTGCTCCAAACATTATTCGTGAACATTTTGATAATTATATTTCATATAAAAAAAATTCTTTCATTTATTATAAAAATCAGATGGCTAAAGCTCCAGCTGTTGGTATCAGTTTGGGTACAACGAATTCGTGCGTTGGTATTTTCCGGGATGGAAAGATTTCAATTATTCTCAACGACAAAGGTAACTTGAAAACACCATCCATCGTTGCATTCACCGATACTAAACGTCTAATTGGTGATGATGCAATGAGTCAAATGACAGATAATCCACTTAATACAATTTTTAACGTCAAACGTTTAATTGGACGTAAGTTTAACGACCCAGTCGTTCAAAATGACATGCAGTATTGGCCATTTATTGTTAAGTCTTTCGACTCAAAGCCAAAAGTTGAAGTTGAATACAAAGGCGAAATTAAACAATTTTTCCCAGAAGAAATTTCGGCAATGATTTTGTCCAAAATGAAGGAAACTGCTGAGTATTATTTGAAACAACCCGTAACTGATGCTGTCATAAGCGTTCCAGCTAATTTTAACGATTCACAACGTCAAGCAACTAAAGATGCTGGTACCATTTCTGGTTTGAACGTTCTTCAAATTATCAATGAGCCGACAGCCGCCGCCATGGCTTATGTAAATGGTTTGGACAAGAAAGACGTCGGAAAACTTAACGTTTTGATCATTGACTTTGGTAAGAACGTTAGATATTTTCTTTGAACATTTTTTACTTTTTAAATTTTTTTCTTTCAAGGTGGTGGAAAAATCGATGTTAGTATAGTGGAAATCGTTATGGAAGAGAAATCAATTTCTGTACTATTTACTGCTGGAAACACACATTTAGGCGGAAAGGATATCGATGATTGTTTGATAAAATATATCACGGAGAAATATGAAGTCGATTTTAATCAAGACAAAAAGGTCTGTCTACGCAAAACCATTGAAAAAGCAAAAGAAAATTGTCCAAAAAACTCAACAGACTATGTCAACATTTCTTTCGGATTTAATGGTAAAAATTACATGGATAAAATTTGCCAAACTGATTTCGAAAATATAATCAAGTCGGTCTTGTGTAAATTAACGAAACTGGTTAAAGAAGCCAAAGTTCACGCTGAAACTGAAAGCATCAACATTAACGACATCATTATGGTGGGTGGTTTAAGCCAATTTCCATTGTTTGAAAAAATCGTAAAAGAAGAATTCCTGGACAAAGAAATTCACATCATCAATGAGGAATTAGGTACCGGATATAATATATTCGTTATAAAATTCATATAAAATATTCCACTCTATTAGTGATAATTTCAATGTTGAAATACTAATAAAATGCCTTTTGTTTCTTACATAGTTTGCCAAGGCGCAAGTATCCAAGCTGCATTCTTGCAAGGTGAAACATCGATCCCTGAATATTTTCGTCCAGAAGATATTACTCCATTTCCATTGGTAGTTTTGATGTCAAAATATGACAAAAATATCAAACGTTTCGAAAAAATTCCATACCACGAAGCTAGGCGGCTTACATTCTTAAAAGAAAAATCGATTAATATTCACGTGTTCGAAGGTGAGGAACAAAGCCTGTTGGGTGAATTCAAATTGTCGGAATTTGTTCCAAATACAGTCGATGTAAATTTCGACATCGACAAGAACGGTATTTTTAAAATCACAGCTATCACACAAATAGATGGGCAATATCATAGTGCGGTCAAAGTTACCAGTGAAAAAGGTCGTTTGAGCACAGAAGACATCGTACGTATCCAAGAGAAAGTAAACAGGAAGAAGGATTTAAAAGCTGCTGAGCAATTTTTCCGATCGCATTGTTCGTTGTTGAAAAAAAATGCTAGGAACATTCTGACAGAATGTGGTAAATTCGAAGGATTGTTGAAATCGTCCAAAATAGAATCCAAAGAAACATACAAACAATATCGCACAGATCTCGAATCAAAATGCAAGACATTTATCATCAATCTATGTGATGCAGCCTCCGTTCATACTGGTGCTTCATCTCGTTCGAGCTCTGCTATGTCGATTGGACGACCACCTCTACAAGTTTCTTTTGGATCCGATGGCGAAAATGAGAATAAGTGCATCATCGTTAACGATTCAAATATAAAAGGTAATTCGTCCAAACGTTTCATGAACAAGACAAAAAAAACATCATTACTCGTACAGTGCTTGATTAAGAACACACTTATTAAGCACAGATTTGACAGACCAAAGTATCTTTCTCAAAATGCAGGTAGTGATTTGGACAAAATTTATCTTCATTTACAGCTAACTAACCTACGAAGTTCAACAAATCATCGAAAAAAGACTCATCGAAAAAATTAAGTTACCATTATCATTATTTATCCATTTGGCTCGTTGTTTACTCATTAAGAGAATTTATTACTTTTCTAAACTACTCACCTCAATGTACAATAAATAGAAATCGAATAAAACAGTTGATATCTCTTAAACAAAACAATTCTTTAGAATGTTATTGGCTTTTTATAAATTAATTTATGACAATTGTCAGATAATCTAATTCTTTTAAAGCTTCGTTATCGGAATTATACTCGAGAAGGCGCAAATTGGTAGTTAGTCATATATGACCGGTTTTTCTGAGTTACCACAATATGTTTCAAATCTGCATAAAGAATAGAAAGTTGTTCCTTTTATGAATGGGTAAGAATAATCATGAGCTCCAAACATTATTTAAAAAAATACTGATACAAGACGATGAATTAAAATAAATGAGATACTA